GCTGAAGTAGAACATAATGTGAGAGGAAACCAGAGTAACCAGTGTGTGTGTGTGTGTGTGTGTGTGTGTGTGTGTGTGTGTATATGTAGGTTACAGTCTCTGGACATGGTCACTGCAGTCAGATATCTGTCTGAACCTGACGCTGCTCTGCAAATTCTTGGAGCTGCATACATTCAACACCAGTGTTACCATAGCAACGATGCCAAAAACCAGGTAACGGGGTCACATGTTTTTTTCCCCCCCTGTGGCTGTATTGATGGATTTGTCAGCTGGTTTTTAGTTTCGGTCGCTTTTATACACAAACCATGTAAAAATGAAACGGGATTTTCAAAAATTCAAAATATATATTTTTTTTAAACCAAGAAAACTAAATCTGATAAACCCCACAGAAGAGAGAAGAGAAGAGAGAACTGTTTATAAAGATGAGTTTCCGGATGAATCAGTAACAGAGCAGAGAAACAAAGTCCCTGGAGCCTTGGTACTTATCTGGAGAGTAAACGCTGCATTTTTCTCTCTCACTTGGAGATGATTTGATTTCATTACAGAACATTCCATTTGTCCACAACTGGACTCTGTCTGGAAATGTCCCCAGCGTTTCAAAAAGTCTCTTCATTAAAACGATGAAGTCACTCCAGGACCTGCAGCAGGAACTCTATTTACGAAGACCAATCACGACAGAGAAAACAGAAGCTGCGGAGTCGAAACCAGAACAAAGAGTCGTGACTCAGTCCTGTCTTTAACAACAACAGGGGCAGTTACAGAGGGCAGCAGGAAGGGTGTGCCTGACCTGTCCACTGCTGCTATTGCTGCAGCTGCGCCCATCCACCCCCCCAGCCCCCGCCCCCGTTTTACTGTACAGTACACAGGGTATAAAGTCGTCAAATATTAAATATACATTTGCTTTTATTCCAGTAGTCAAATCCTCCTGTATGTTCTCCAGCAGATGTCACTGTTACTCAGTGGTTTAATCTGGTTAAACAGAGGGAATAAAAAATAAAAAATAAGATTGACTCATGTTTAGTCATTGAGTGCTCATATTTTGAAAAAAAAAAAAAAAATAAAATTGCCCCATGTTTAGTCATTGAGTGCTCATATTTTGAAAAAAAAAAAAAAAATAAAATTGCCCCATGTTTAGTCATTGAGGCCTCATATTTGAAAAAAAAAAAAAAAATAAAATTGCCCCATGTTTAGTCATTGAGGCCTCATATTTGAAAAAAAAAAAAAAAATAAAATTGCCCCATGTTTAGTCATTGAGTGCTCATATTTTGAAAAAAAAAAAAAAAATAAAATTGCCCCATGTTTAGTCATTGAGTGCTCATATTTTGAAAAAAAAAATTTAAATGAACTTTTGGAAAAAGTCAAATGATTATAAAATCGGCCTTTACATAAATATGTTTTGTTGTCATATAATCTTTAAAAAATGACGGGTCATGTTTGTGAATGTCGCCCCCATCAGGTCCGTTTGCTACATGGCATCACTGCTCTGATGCAGCTTCTCAGCAGCGACAACCTGGAAATTCAGCAGTACGCAGCGGGCGCCACGAGAAACCTCATTTACGAAAACGCAGAAAACAAGGTGGCGCTGATCGACGCTGGAGGACTGACACGTCTGGTGGAGAGTCTGGACCAACCTGACGAAGAACTGAGAAAAACCATAACAGGTCAGAGGGGGGCGCTGGTTCCACACGTTCACTCGTCATCCAACATGATGTTGTTTGTCAAAGTCCGACTCGTGTCCTCGCTGCAGGCATCCTGTGGAATCTGTCGTCCAGGGACAACCTGAAGGAAAAACTGTGTCGAGACATTTTATCCGCACTGACAGAGAAAGTTCTGGTTCCTCTGTGCAGTAACCTGCCGCTCTCCCCGTCTGAAAGAGACATTTTCTCCAACACGAGCGGCTGCCTCAGGTCAGTGTCGCACCAACAACCATGTGACTGCCTAACTGACCACCAGGTGTCGATGTAACCATGTGTAACCGCCTCAGATCAGTCAAAAAACTCTAGGGGCCGCCATGTCTCCATATAGTATTCTAAAAATATTAAACCTATTTATCTATTTTTTTATTTGTTATTTTTGGCACCATCATGCTTTAAATGACGCCGTGCTCTGCCAGCCACTGCCATCTTCTTCCTTTTTGTGTTGTCATGTGGACGTGGGTGTTCAGGAACCTGAGTTCAGTCAATGAGAGGACCAGACAGAGGATGAGGGACATGCGAGGACTGGTGGACTCCCTGGTCCT